AAGACCGGCCTCCAGGGCAGGAACAGCAGGAAAGAAGAAAGACAGGAAGAGGGAGAGAAAGAAAGAGGAGGATGGGAGGTGGGCAGGGCCCTTTTAAAGGGGAATATCTTGAATATGCACAGGTGGTGCTCTTAGTGGCTGCAACTGAGGGCGTACCCTGTGAGAACCCCAAGGACAGGCCAGTACAGATGCCTGAACACTAAAAACTGTGTCCTCATTTGCATGAGGAGCTTCAGCATGAGAGTTCTGCTCCTGCAAACTGGTTCTTACAGGGTCCAGGACTAGTGATAGAACCATAGCTTAAAGACTGTCTCAGGGTTTTAAGGTCAGCTGTAAAGTTCTCCTTGCCATCTGTACTAGTTAGTGTTCCCTAGAGGAACAGCCTGTAGAATACACACACACACACACACACACACACACACACACACACACACACACACACACACACCATAGAATATACACACACACAGATACGTACATGAACATCCTATAGAATACACACACACACACACATTTATTAGAATATATTAGTTTAAACAATACTCTAGAAATAGTAACAACTGTTGCATTATACCAGAGAAGACCAAGAATCTGGTGTTTGCTTAGTTTGCAAGGCTGGTGCCTCAGCAGTACCTGTCTTGATGCCAAAGACCTGGAGGATTCCTGGAGAACCACTGGTCCTCAGCCCACATTGGAAGACAGGAAGTGTTGGTTCTATTATCTGAGAAAGAATCAATAGCAGCAACAAAGTAAATTAATTTGGTAGCAAGAGGCAAGGCCAACTGATCAGTAGACAAGTGATTTTCTTTTTTCCATGGCTTCTTTACCTAGGCTGCTACCTGAAGGTGCTGTCTGCGTTTGGGGTGAGCCTTCCCCACATCAGTCAAGGGCAGTCAAGACAGTTCCTCAATTGACACTGCTCAGGTGATTCAAACTTGTGAGAAGTTGACATTTAAAAGCAGTCACCACACCAAGTTCGAGTCATTCCTGGCTAATGTAATCTACATGGTGTACGTGCAGGTAGTTAGGACAGGGACCTGTCCTTCCTGTGCAGGTGAGGGCTCTGCAGTGGAACAGAGGAAGGACCCAAAAGGAGCATCAGAGGGGACAGTTAGGATCTGAGAAGCTAGAGGCAGGGGATTGATGGCACTTTGTGAAGAGAGTATTCGCGGTTGTGTGATGCCCTGGAGATAAGTCCAGGGAAGTGGTGGCAGAGCCTTATTACAGAGAGTTCTTCCAGCAGCCTGCTCAGGAATATGGGGCAGGGACAATCTGGTTTTCACCAGTGTGGTAAGATGTCCCCCATAGCCTGGGACATTTGAATATTTGATCTCCAGTTGGAAATTCTGTTTGGGGAATTTAGGTGGTGTAACCTTGTTAGAAGAAGTGTGTCACTGGAAAGTCTTGTGTCACTGGAGTTGCTTTCTCTACTCGGTCATATAGTAAAGGATGTGGGTATGCTCTCAGCATAACATGAAAACAGGCTTACCTCTTCCCTATCATGATGGAACTCTTACCCTTCTGGAACTGTAATCCCAAATAGACCCTTGTTCTGCAAGTTGCCTCGGTCATGATGCTGGACTGCAGTGATCATGCATGACTTTGCTGGGCTGAGTGTGGAGGTAGGCTTTTACCAACCAACTGCCCTAGAATCCTGCACAGTAGCACTTGGGGATGGCGCAGAGCGATTTGCCTCAGCATCTTCCTGCTTTCCATCAGAGAGACCCATTTGTGTTGAGACACAGAAGGTACTCTGGGTTAGAGAGGCTGCTTGCTACAGTGGTAGTTAAATTACAGCACAAATTTTGGAGGGACATTCAAACCATAGCTGTAGAGTAGTAGGACTTTATGATGTAAGCCTAAGGGTTTTGTAACTGGTGTTCAGGATCTACCAGCAGGGGCTGCTTCTGTTTGAGGACTGAGACTGTTGCCTGGACATCTGGGAGGTAAAGGAGGTGACGAACCCAGCCCTGTTCCAATTCAGGCTGCTTTACCACTTAACTACCATTACAGTGTATCATGGCCTTTGTGGGTTGGAAATTCACAAGGGGGGGGGGGCGAGTCTTTGATGTTTTCTAATGCCTGGTACTTTGGTTAGATTTAAATTGGACAGCCACTGGGAAGACTCACCAGCGTGTGGCTTCTTGGCTAGCTCAGGAGCAACATCCTCAGCACTGGCTGTCAGTGTGTCTACAATAGTCCCCATCCAGCCTTCTTCCACGGTGACTAAGGGCCACCAGGCTGACTGTCCCAGCAGTCACTTCTGATTTCCTTGTGGTCAAAGCAGCACAAAGCCCATGGAGTTCAGAGAGGGACACAGAGCCACCCTCCCTTGGAACAAGTATTACAAATGCAGTCTTGGAGCTCCTGTGGTGGTGTGAATGAGAATGGCCACCATAGGCTCATATGTTTGAACGCTTGGTCGCCTGTTGGTGGAACTGTTTGGGGAGGATGAGGAGATGTGGCCTTATTGGAACAGAATTGTCCCTGAGGTTTCAAAAGCCCATGCCAGGCCATCTTGCTCACTCTCTCTGCTTGTGGGTCAGGATGTAACTCATCTACTGCTCCAGTGCCATGCTTGGTGCCATGTTCCCCACCATGATGATAATGGACTAAACTGCTGAGACTAACCCCCAGTTAAATGGTTTCTTTGATAAGAGTTGTCTTGGTCATGATGTCCATTCACAGCAATAGAGCGGTGACTCAGACAGTTGCCTTGTTCTTGGTGCTTTGTCACAGTGACTAAGACAGTCCCTTCATGACAACACCGTAGAGCTTTGCCAGGAGCACTTAGCTGATAGAGCTATACGTCAGATAAGCATTTCAGTTCACTACACACACTCAGAAGAGCTAGAGGCAAGCACTTGCCTGTCCAGTAGCAGAATGGGTGCAGCAACATCATCCTGGAACTTTCTTTGCCAGTTATACTTGAAAATGTGCTCAGGGTGCCTTCTGTTTGTATAATTTCTAGTTTGAATATTTTCTAAATTAAAGCATTCTGGGCCAAAGCAATGAATGGTGACAATAGCTCCTCATTTTCCTGAACTGCTGAGTGTCCTTCATAGGGAAGTAGGCTTACTGTCTACCAAGGACTTCCTTGAAGTTAATATCACTCTGGAACATTTGCCACATGGCATCAGAGTTTTGGGGGACTAGTTTAGGGGACAGTTGTGGAAATGAGCACAGTGCCATTATTCTCTGAAGAAAGTTTTTAAGCAAAAACAGTCTGGGTGTTGGTAGCTTGTACTAATGATCTCAGCACTCAGAAAAGTTTGAGCTAGGAGGATTGCCACAGGTTCTTATCAGCCTAGGCTACAGAATAAGACCAAGCAGAGTGTGGTGATGCACATCTTTAGTCCCAGTACTTGAGAGGCAGAGGCAGGCAGATCTGTGAGTCTGGGGCCAGCCTGGGCTACTTAGTAAGGCCAGTCAGGTCTACATAATGAGGCTGAATGAAAAAACAGGCAATAGCAGACATTTTAGAACTACTCTACCTAGTTTGTCTCTAATATCTCCCATTTCTTGTTTCCCACTAGTGAGCTTGTTGAGGTCCCATCTCACCCCCTAGTACTTTCCTCATCTCCTTGGAGAGAGCTGCTTTTTCTTCTTTCGTCAGCCGTATTCCCCCTCTCGACAGTGAGACTTCTTGTGAGGGATGCTCTGGATAACGATCCTAAGTCAGTATCTAATGACAACAAGAAGATGCCTGGACCCACTGGATACTAACCTCAGGTCTCCCCCAGTCCACACTGAGCCCAGCCCTGTCAGCAAGGACATTTGTAACCATTGTGTGTGAATTCCTCTTACCCGGAAGGAGAGAAGACAGAGGACTGTGGTCAGACCATTAGCACTGAGCACTCACAGCAAAGGGGTCCATGAAACTGTCCTCTGCTCGGTAAAGTGATGTTGCATAGTCTAGGAGGCTCTGTATCCCTTAGCCAAAGTAACTGGGGCCAGACAGGTTTCTGATTTCCAGGTTTTTTTAAATTTCTTTTTTAAATAATTAATTAAATTTAATTTAATGTGCTTTGGTGTGGGGGTGTCAGATCCCTTGGAACTGGAATTGCAGACAGTTGTGAGTTGCTGTGTATGTGCTGAGAATTGAACCTGGGTCTGGGTCCTCTGAAAGAGCAGCCAGTTCCTTTCCAGCCCCTCCAGAGGTTTTGTTTTGTTTTGTTTTGTTTTGTTTCTTAAAAGAGTATTTGTATGTCTTTGAACCGTCTTCAGAAGGGAACTGACTCTAAACACACAGTTCACTTGTTTCTTATACTTGCAGCCTAAAGATAATTTTATATACTATTTTTAATGGTTTTGAGCATGAAACTGAATTTCAGGGCATGAAATTTCCTGATTGTAGTAGCACCATGGTAAGGCTCAGAGTTTCAGATTTGGGCACATTTCAGATTCCGGACCTTGAATTAGGGATTCTCAACATTTTGATGTGTTTAGTTGTCTTGTGGTAAGATGTCACTGTTGGGTTGGGACTAATTCCATGCAGTTACTAGAGGCATCTGTGCTCAGTCACCTGGTAGATACCCGCTAGAGAGGGAAGAGCTGTTGGAGGAAGAGGTTGTAAGTGCTGAAGGGATGGACTCCCACCACCAGGCCTCCACTTCAGGCTCCAGAGAGCTTCTCTGGGCTCCAGCCATAGCTACAAGCACAGGGAGAGCTTGGATCAAACCCGGGTTCTTTAAGGTGTGCAGTTCTTTGACTTTTATTTTTACGAATGGGTCTTTCTTAAGTAAAGTGTTGGGGACAAAATATTTTTCAAAACATATCACTGAGTTCCAAATGCCAGAGCTGCAAAACTACATAGGAATCTTATTTTCCACTTTTTATAGTCTTGATTTTCCTGAAAATGGTATATGTTTTATTGTCCTTGTGAATTCTTTTTTAGTGAACTTTATAAAGCATATAAAAATTAAAGTTTAGTCAGTTGGAATCCCTGAATATTATCGATTTAAATACTGATTTTTCTTTTCTTCTCCTTTCTCTTACAGCTGTTTGGGGCAACTTTGTTAACATGAGGTAATTCTTTTTAATTGCTTGGGCATTATGGTTGGGTTTTACAGGGTCAGTTTGTAACTCAGTTGGATCATGAGTTAACTGAATATTTTTGATGAAGCTGCTATGCTGTTCACACATCTGGGTGTTTCATTTCTTATGTGGTATTTTCAAGGGATGCAACTTGTTTTAGATGTTATCCCAGTGAAGTTCAGATGGCAATGATGACCACTGTGCTGTCTGCCCCCATCCCTCTCCTCCGTAGATGCACACAGTGTACACTCCCCTTTACTTCTCACATGGGAAGTGCATTGTGGGGGGCTTGAGTGAGAGCATAGGACCTTTTGCACAGCTCTTCCAGAAGGGTGATGTCTTAGAAATCATAGTTGACTTTTTGCCCCTGGGAGCCAGCTACAACTTGAGCCTTCCCTCGGTCCAAACTGCTTGGACCAGAAGTATTCAGATCTTAGAGGGGTTGATTTTCTTTTTCGTGTTTTGGTATATGTATGCATGTATAATGAAACTGTGTGGGATAGGATGCATGTCTCTTCCACATACATAGCCTGAAAGTGACTTTAGAGATGCTTTTGGTGAGCCTGTGTTTTGACTCTGACCTCGCACTTGAGGTCAGGCTGTGGTCGTTTCTTATTGATGCTCACCTTGTTTCAGATTTCAGCGTATTTTGGGTTTTAGATGTTTGGATTTTCAGGTTAAAGATACTTGGTCTCCACTAGATGTGGTTGTCAAAACCTCCTTCCTGTCTGGGTAATGTTAAGGCTTGTGGGACCCTTTAGTTTGAGTGTGCATGTTTGGTCGTTATTCCTGTTTTGTTTTGTTTAGGACAGAATATTACAGTGTAGGACAGGCTACCTTTGACTTTATAGTGTAGCCTAGATTCCCTCAAGCACATGATCTTCCTGCCTCAGCCTCCCGAGTGCTAGGATTATAGCCGTGTACTACCAAGCTGCCTTTCTAAATTTTGTTTCTTAATAGGCAGTAGGGATACTTGTACAAGTAAGAATCCTTGTGTGCCACGTTAAAAAGCAACACTTAAAAAGCACAGCTGAAGAGTAGTAGGCATTCATTTGACAAGCATAACTACCATAGTGCAGTTGTCTGCTTAAAGAGACTTTTGCTCCACTTTGCTATCTCCGGGTATGGGGACACTGAAGAGTAGCACTGCTGTTCCTGATGGGGAAGCTGGCATTGGGATCTTCAAGCTGCACACAAGAAACAAGCTGGCTTCCCCACCCCCAGCAACCTCTTTTTGTGGAATTGATTTTGCTTGCAAGGCTGCTGGGGCTGTGTTGATCTGATCCCCACTGCCAGTGTGTGTCCCCTAACAAAGGCGGCTGTGTGTGGATAGGTGGGGTGCTCAGGTCTCACTTAAAGGTACTCTGTTTTTCCTTGGAATAACTCCATTTTGTGTTAAATCCCTGAGAAAGCCCAGTAGACAAACACAGACTCCTATAGACATGCTACACCCTGTGTCTTAAAAGTTCTTGTTGGGGGTAACATGGCAGTAAGAGTATTTAGCTTAATTGAAACAGTCTGTTGTGGGGTGGGGTGGGGGGGGTTGTGAAGGGCAGGGGACACATGGGACGACACAGCCCATTTGTTCATAGACCTGAGGAGATTCCCTCACACTGTCTTATTTTCCTCTTCTGTGCCCCCTGCTGGGGAGATCTGGAAGTGGTGATCAGTACTTGAGCAAGATGGGCAGAGGGTCTGTAAGTAGGATTTGCTCTGGGGTAATTAGTTCAGAAACAAATCTTGAAGGCAGGAAGTCTTTCAACTGATCTCAGTTCTGCAGCTTTCTGCTCAACAGGTCTATCCAGGAAAATGGTGAACTAAAGATCGAAAGCAAGATCGAAGAGGTTAGTCTCTCTTCCTCCTTGCTCCTGTTCCATTCGTGTATCTGTCAGTCTCTCTGGGGGGGGGGTGCGGGGGCGGGGGAGCGGGGCAGGTGTTTCATAGCAGCTGATGCTCTCATACGACTAAAACAGTCTGTTCCGTAATGGGGCTTTCTGCTTGTCAGCCTGCAGACCGTTTGCCCTATTCAAATCTGTTTCCGCTAGTGTTAAGCTAGGGCAAAAGTAACCGAAGGCCCTGCTTGCTTTAAAACTGATTTGTGTTCTTGTTCCAGATTGTTGAACCATTAAGAGAGAAAATCAGAGATTTGGAAAAAAGGTATGCACACTTTTTTTTTTTATTTTGACTTTAAGAAAATGTCTTAGATGAGTGACAGGCAATATCAGTGTTTAGAATGTTCATCTCAGTTGAGTTCATGATATAAGAAAGTTACGTGGGAACTTAGAGAATATGAACAATTAAGGCATTCGAGAGAGAGATGTTTCCTTTCCCTACAAAGCTGAGTGTTTAAAGTCGGAATGTAGCTGTGATTGTTCAGAGACCGTCTGTCTGGAGCTCACTCTGTCCTTACTGGCCTCGAGCTCACAGTTCTCCTGCCTAGTCCTTCCAATGCTGGAATTATAAACAAACACTACCACACCAAGTCCTGGATGTGGTGTTTTAAATCATTTAAAAATACCTTGTTGTTAAGGACTATATCCTATAAAAGTAATAGAGTTCCACTAAGAAAACAAAAGGGAAATTTTGTTTGTTTGTTTGAGATTTGTTTGAAGTTGATTTTTTTACTGTGGTTTTGCTAAGTCTTAAGAGAGTCTAAATTAAAAAAAAATCCTTCTAAAATCAGGGCTGGGGTGATACTTCAGTGGATAAAGTGCTTACCCTTAGGGACCCCAAAACCCACATGAAAGCCCCATAGATGTGTACCTCCTGAAATGCTGGTGGGACAGTTGGTTCTCCTGCCCCGTTTTTTGTTGTTGTTTCGGATTTTTTAGGCTGTTTTCCCCCATGATTCCCCTCACCCCAACATTCATACCTTCTTGTCTCTACCCCACCCTCTCTCACTTCTTGTTGTTGTTTTTTGGCAATGCACTGAATCAAGTAGTGATGCCTGCTGGGATGTTGTCTGATTTTGTGCAGCTAGTGATGCCTGCTGGGATGTTGTCTGATTTTGTGCAGCTAGTGATGCCTGCTGGGATGTTGTCTGATTTTGTGCAGCTAGTGATGCCTGCTGGGATGTTGTCTGATTTTGTGCAGCTAGTGATGCCTGCTGGGATGTTGTCTGATCTTGTGCAGCTAGTGATGCCTGGTGGGATGTTGTCTGATCTTGTGCAGATAGTGATGCCTGCTGGGATATTGACTGATCTTGTGCAGGTATCCATAGCTGCTGTGAGTTCATGGGTGCAGTGGCATGTCACATCCCCCAAACAATATTCACAGTATAACTTCCCATCCTTTGGCTCTTTGATTCTTTCTACCACTTCTGCAGTCCCGATGAGCCTTGGGGTATGACATGGGTTAACACTTAAGGCTGAGCACTAAATAGTCACTTGTTCTCAGCACTCTGACAACTTATGAGTCTGTGCCTACTATTGACAAAGACGACTCTGACCAAGGTTAAGGTAAGGGCTAATCTAAGGATATATATATATATATATATATATATATCAATATGTCCATAAAATAGTTTGACATTGTGTAGTAACACAATAGTTGTGTGTTCCTCCCTGGGGCCTGGGACCTCCCCAGTGACAGCCTGTTGACCAGGGTTACAATTCCAGGCTTGAACTCCTTGCTGTGGAGTGTGCTTCAATCCCATCCAAAAGCGGTTGGCTATCCTGTGACGTTTATACCACTTTTGCACTAGTGGGTGCATCTTACTGGTGATTGGTACCTTAGCATTTTTGGCTGTACCAGTGGGAAAGCCATTGGTGGCAGTGGCTGGCACAGTACCTTTTGGCTCTGTAAAGGCTAGCCAGCAAGGGGAAGTTACCAGATCACCTGTACTCTGATTTTCTCAGTGTTCAGCAGCCCAAGTGTCTTACATTTTCGGTGTCAATCTTGGCATCTGGTTATGGTGCAGTGGTGACAGCTTGCATTATTTTGGCTGTTATGGGGTCTTCTATATCAATAACACATAGGCACCGAGATTTTAACTAAATAATCCGTGTCTTCTAGGAGCATCATTGACCTCCCATGCAGGGCACCTGCATTGGTTAGAGGCTGCTGTGCTGGAACACCATTACCACAGCAACTTAGAAAAGGAGGGGTGTATTTGGGCTTATGCTTCCAGAGGGATGAGTCCATGATGGCAACAAGGGGTAGGCATGGTGGCAAGGACTGAAGCCAAGAGCTTTACACCTTAAGCAGGAAGCAGAGAGAGGAAATGAACTAGAAATTGCCCGAGTCTCTTAATTTTCAAAGTTTTCCCTAGTGACATGCCGCCTCCTGCAAGGCCATACTTCCTAAGCCTCCACAAACAGCACCAACAACAGGGAAAGAAGAATTCAAATGCCTGAAACATGTGGGACAATTCTTATTCAAACCATCACATTCTGCCCCCTGGCCTCTGGAGTGCAAAATGTGTTTTGTCTAACTTCAAAGGTCCCTGTAGTCTTTTATAGTCACAACACCGTATAGAAGGCCAAAGTCTCCTCTGAGATTCCATGTAGTATCTTAATTGCAATGTCATGTAAGATCAGAAAGTAACTTACATACTCCTAGCATACAATGGCACAGAAGATACATTACCATTTTAAAATGAAGGAATGAGAGCATAGTGAAGAAACTGCGGAGTAAGCAAAACTGAAATCTAGCAGGGCAAACTGCAGATCCTGTAGCTCCATGTCTGATATCTGGGACTTTGATTTTAAAGGGCTTAGGTGGTCCCCCCCTCCAACTTTGATACCTCTCTTGGGCAGATGTCTCATGGCTCTGGCATCTCTGACATCTTGTGATCTTCAACACAACCCAGAATTGTGCTTTTACAGCTTCACACAGTGACTTCTCAAGGCCATTACATAGGGACTCCCCTAACACATGTTGCCTGGCCTTGGAGTCGCTCTGAGACTGCAGTAGGTGATTCTACAGCCCTTCACTCTTACATCCTTTGTGTCTCTAAAGATAGCGCCGTACAGACAGCACTGTCAGGATCAGCTGCCAGCGTGGGATGGGCCCTGACTCCCTGGAGCCACAGCACTTTTGATGGCAGTTACCTTTCAGGAGCAGAAGATACCTTACTCGAAGTTGGAAGCTTAGCTGGGCGGGATCTCACCCTTTCCATTGGTCCAGTTCAGATCAAGCCCTTCCCTTAATGCGTTCATCTCTTTAACAGTTGCAGCCTCTACGCTACCAAGCTTTGACTGTAGTGTTTTAAGCTTGTCGGTGTCTCTTTTCTCTGTAGACTATATAGTTTGTATTCTTTTCTGCCCCGACTGCTCCTTTTTTTAATTGTCAACCCACATAAGAATGATCTTTTTAGGGCTCTCTTGAAATCTCCTTTGCCAAAGAAATAAATTCATCACCTTTTAATTTACCATGGGCTAGTTCTTGGGACAAGGACAGAAAGCTCTCACATTCTTTGCCACACTATCAGAAAAATAGTTTCTAATATTGACCGTCTTTGAAGCCTCTTGACCTAGGCCTCCACAATCTGCATGGCTCTAGGCACTGCTGTCTTCCAAGCGCCTACTTTACTAGCTTTGGGTTGATTTTTGTGTAGGGTGAGTTAAGGATCCAGTTTCATTCTTTTGCTTGTAGATACCCAGCTTCCCTAGGTCTGTTTGTTGAAAGTGCTTTGTTTTCTTTAAGTGTGCATTTTTTTTTTGCATCTTTGTTAAAATCAGGTGGCTGTACTTTTGTGGCCTTGTGTCACGATCCTCAGTTCTTTTCCATTTATGTGTCTGGTTTTATGCCAGTACCATGCTATTTTTATTACTGTGGCTTTGTTCTGTAATGTAACTAGAAATCAGGTATGTTATTACCCCAGTAGTACTTTTTGTTCAGGATTTCTTTGGCTGCCTGGGTCTTTACTTCCATATGGACCCCTTCCCCCAATTCTGTGAAGAATACCATTAGACTTTTGATATTGTGTGGAATCTGTAGATTGCTTTTGGTAGGATAGCTATGTTCACAGTATTAATCCTGACAAGCCATATGCATGGGAGGTCTTTCCGTCTTCTGCTGAATTTTTAAATTTCTTCAGTATTCAAAGTTTTTTCCATCATGGTTTGCCCGTGTCCCTGGTTAGGTTTATTCCAAGATTTTTTTGGCTGTTTATTAAGCTACAGTGTTTTTTTTTCCCCTGGTTTTATTGGTGTAATTGTCAATGATATGTAGAAATGCTACTGAGCTGTTTATTGTTGATTTTTGTATCCTGCCTTTACTTGAGAGTGTTTATCAGTTCTGAGTGTTTTCTGGTGGAGTGTTTAGGGTTTCTCACAGTCATATTATCTGCCAATAGGTATTTTGGCATCTTTCTTTCCTATTTGTTTTCTGTTTCTCTTGTCTCACTGCTCTAGCTAAGAATAAGAGTGGAGAAAGTGGGCGCCTCTGTTCTGAATTGAGTGGAATGCTTTGAGTTTCCCCATTTACTAAGCTAGCTGTATGCTTGTATGTTTTTAACATGTTCAATGTTTATTATGTTGAGATGTGTTTCTTCTATTCTGAGTTTCTTCAGAACTTTTAATATGAAGGAATGTTGGCTATTGTCTAAAGGTTCTTTTTTCCCCCATCTATGACCATGTGATCTCTGTTCTTGAGAACGTTTATTCAATTTGCATCATATATTACACTTTCATTTACACTTGTGTTTTGAACCATCCCTGCATTTCTGGAATAAGTCTGACTTGACCATGGTGAAAGATCTTTTTGATGTGTTCTTGAATTCATGTTGTATCATAAAGGAGTTTTGTCTTGCCTTCCTTCCAGGAATAGAGTGGGCAGACAGTAAGGGGCCAAGACACAGGAGAATTTTATTTTGTAGGTGAGAGTGTCAATTTAAAAGGAAAAGTAGAAACTGGAGCTGTGGATGGTAGCAGGATCTCCCAGCAACCATTACCCCTCTGTGGGTCTGGGTCTGGAGACACCAACCAGGAAGTTACTGAAGAGTGTTGCAGCGCTGCCCTTGCAGGCGCCTCAGCCACTGAGAACAGTGAACTGAGAAACTAGTCTGCAGAGGGTGAGAATGGCAGGGCAGGGAGCTCAGAGGATAGGAACAGGAGGTCTGCTCTGAGACACGACCAGTTCCCCTGCCTGCAGCAGTAGTGGTAGGTCTTGCAGTGGTCTGCCTCTGGTGGCCCTCAAAACCTGGAGTAGTCTTC